GGCTGAGCAGCTCCTGCCCTCCATCTTTCAGTGGCCCCAGCTGCAGCTGTGTCTGCAAGTATTTCCCAGGTGGTTTTTATTCTTCCTGTCTTTCCTTTCTCCCCACACTCCTTGTCCCTGCTCCATTCAACTCAGTGTTGCCACTTAGTGGAGGCAGGGGACAGTCACTCACTGCAAGAACCAGAGCGCTGCCCAGGTCCCTGCAGCGCTGCCCCTGCCCCCGCAGAGCTGGACTGGCTGCCGAGAGGGCACTGCTCTGCAGGGAGGCATGACTCTGCCCCTGGCTTTTTGATGGGAACAACTGTAATAAAGGCCGACGGTCGCCGAGTACTCCCTGTGAGCAGGCACTGGCCAGGCTCTGACGTGGGGGATGATCTCATTTACTGCCCAGCTGTCCGATGTTCCTTACCTGCTCACAGCCACGCAGCCGGTGTCCCCCTGATCCAGACCCAGGTTTGTCTACCCCTGGAGCTCACCTCTTGATTATTCACCCCTGTTCCTCCCTCGAAAGCTCCTTGACCCTGGTGTGCCTCCATTTCTCTCCCTGTGAAATGGGGGTAATGACTCCACAGAGCTACATGTGTGTGTTACAATGTACTAGCACAGTGGTCGGCAAACTCATTAGTCAACAGAGCCAAATATCAACAGTACAACGATTGAAATTTCTTTTGAGAGCCAAATATTTTAAACTTAAACTATATAGGTAGGTACATTGTTATTAACTTAATTAGGGTACTCCTAAGCTGGCCTTTGCTAAAAATGTTTCATTTTATAACAATAAAGCCACCAACACAAAGTAATTACAATTCTGAAATTGATGACAGAAATACCTGTAGGATTTGCAGCTGGTTGGAAAAATACAGGTAACTTTATGCTTCGAGTAGGTACTTTTGTCACCCGGGCGTGATTTGCGGACACAACTAGCACTAACCACTGCACATGAGACTGCTGACTGACTGGCTCACTCAACTCGTGCATGAATCACGCGCGCCTCGCCCGCGCTGCGTATCCCGCGGGCCCGCTTGCGCCGCGTCTCCCATCGCCCTACCGACACCCCCCACTTCTTCTAACGCCATTTCTTCAAATAGACTCGCCCAGGCCGAAAACCGACTTCTGCGCATGGGCCACAAAGTTTCAATCGCACTGTATGTGTGTGCCCGCACGTGGTATTTTGTGGAAGAGCCACACTCAAGGGGCCAAAGAGCCGCATGTGGCTCGCGAGCCGCGGTTTGCCAACCACTGTACTAGCACACGCAGTGATATTCATTAGTGATGCCCTCCGACACTGCAGAGATGGAGCCAGAGACAGACTGGGAAGGAGTGCCGTTAAAAGTATAAACAGTGGCTGGAAACCTGGAGCTGCCCACGGGGAAAGGGAAGGAATTGGAACTGGCTGGAAGCTCGCCCCACTGGACAGGGAGTGACCAGTGATTAGACTGTCACAGGGCACAGCAAACACCTCGCTTGTCCTACTCCATGGAGAACCTGGTCCCCCAGGTATGTCTGGGCAGTGGTGCCTTGGAGCAGCATCAGTGCTGTGGTTTGAGAGACTGTTTTTGAACAAGACCCAAGTGCGTGGGTCGAGACAGGGGTCGGTGTCCTGGCTGGGCCCGGGAAGCAGAGGCCTGGATGGAGCCCATTGTCCAGGTGGGACAAGCCAGGGCTTCTGTTGGGCTAACCAGATACTGCTTGGCTGTTTATAGCTGTCATTCCAAGTGCTTTGAGAGGGGCAGTGTGTGACAGGTCTCTTTGTCTGCATTTCCTAACATTGAGGCCGATGAACATTTTGCAGGCTGAGGAAATTCAGGGTCAAAAAGCGATGGCAGAGCTGGGCTTTGGAGCTCTGAGCCATGCTGGTGGGCTCACTCCGTCCCCACCTCCGGGGAGGCTGAGCCCGAGGGCATCTGGCTACCTACATCACCGTGGCAGGCTCGCCTGGGAGAGGACCGTGGTTAGGATGCCCGTTTTGCACAGTGGGCACAGACCACATGCTCCCTTTCCAGTGGCTGGCTGGCTGGCGGAAAGAGTGCTGCTCTGGAGTTGCCGTGGTAACACTCCCGTGCTTGGGGCCTATCTGCTGGGGGTATTTCCCTAGATGCACTGACATGGGGGCACAGCAGTGTGGCCTGGTGGTAGGGGTCATGGTTTCTCAAGCCACACCTACCAAGTTCTGTGCTTGTGATCTTGGGTAATTTGCTTTGCGCCTCAGTTTCCCTGTCTTAAAGTGGGTTGTGGTGAGGATATGAGTTTTAATGTCCATAAAGTGCTTATCCGCATAGTACCTGGCACAATAGCCAGTGGTCAGTAATTGATAACTATGATTAGCTATTAGCCAACAGCTAGTGGGCTTGGGGAAATTTTCAGCTATAAAACACCTAAAGGAAGTGTGGCCTGCTAGGGACGCGGGGCTGGGCCCGCAGCAGCCCGGGGCAGGCTCTGAGAGCAGCACTGGAAGCCGCAATAGGAAGGAGCGCAGTGAATAATCGGGGTGAGGGTGTCCTCACCCTCCGCCGGGAAGACAGAATGGAAGAAGGGATGTGAGGCTGGCTTGTGCTGATTTGATTTTCCTTTTCCTCCTCTGTTCGGCATGTTAAAGCCTTCAGGTTTCAGCTGGTTCTGCCATGTCAGATCATCAGAGATGCTATTAACTTGGAGGGCTGGGTGGGTCAGTGGTTTGGACCTCTTTGGGAGGCCTCCTGTTTTGCCCCTCCTACCTGAAGGCCTGGCGCCAGGTTTAGAGGAAGCTGTGCAGTGAAGCGTCTGTTTGGTGGGGGTGGGGGTGGGGCCTGGAGTAAGTGGGTCAGATGGAGGCCAGGAAACCCTCTCAGCCTCTTGGTACCTGGGTCTCCCTGCGCAGGCGCAGGCGGGAGCAGCGCCTGGTGAGTCAGTGCTCCGGGGAATTGGGGAATTTGGAGCCGGCAGGGCAGGCTGTGAGCGTGGGGGGAGTGTGGGCCTTTTGTTTCTTTCAGCGCTCTAGCCTTTAGGAACAATCTGGAAATCAGGCTCTCACATGGCATAGTCCTGCTTTTTTTGAGGTAATTCAGCTTGAACAGTTGCTTCTCTTGAATGCAGGTCTTTCAGGAATTAGCCCTTTCCCTTTTAAATGTTTAATAGGCTGTGCTTATGTCTTAGTAGCTATACTATTCTCAAAGCATAAAAAGACTTAAAAATACTTACGCGGTCTGTCATTTTCCACACTAAACCCTTATTGTGGTTTCCATGCGATTTTGAAGCCGGGGAAACTGGGAGGCTTTGCGGGCGTGTGTAGACACGTCTCTGTTCCTCTGTCCTCTTGGGGGCGGAGAATGGGACACGCCCTGACACGGAGTCTCCAGGAACTGCTGGAATGACTCTGGTCTCCATTTTAAACATGCACGTCCTGAGGCCTCAGAGCTCCTTTTGAAGAGAAGCGGAGTTCTCCACGCGCTTTTCGGAGGAAGCTATAGTCCTTTCCATACAGCGCAAAGCTCCAGCCTCGGAAAAGCACCTCTGCCCCACTGTGTCCTGAGCTGGAATGTGGACCCTGGAGGTCCATGAGCGCTCCTAGAGCGGAGGCAGGGCACGGACCTGGCTGGCCCGCCTCCCCATTAGACTCTGGCTCGTGGCTGAGTCCTGTGAGCACTGTGCCTTCCGTGCCTGCAGCTATGGTAGCAGGTGGTAATATTTTCTGAGTACAGATGCTCCTGCACTTACCATGGGTTATGTCCCGATAAACCCTTTGCACGCTGAAAATATCACGTCTAAATGCATTTAGTTCACCTACCCTACCAAGCATCGTAGCTTAGCCTGGCCTGCCTTGAACCTGCTCCGAACACTCACGGGAGTCCACAGAATCATCTAACACAAAGCCTGTTTTACAGCAAGGTGTTATGTCATTTCTTATACATATTGCTTTGCACCATCGTAAGTCGGGGACCTGTGCTAAATTGTAGATGGATCTTCTAGTGGACTAGTTGAAAGTAAGAGTCCTAAGTAGACAAGGTCTTCAGAGAAATCACCTCACTCCTGGCCCAGAAATTTCTAGCAGTTCTTTAAAAACACCTTTTTAATTATCGGGGGCCAAGGCAGAGGCGGCAGAGGCCCCCGGCCGCGGGTCCGGGGCCAAGGCCCTTGCACAAATTTCGTGCATCGGGCCTCTAGTATAGGTAATAAACCACCATGGTGAGTTTGCTGTGTTTCCATGCAGACTTCTCTCTTTCATGTAGCAGCTATCCTCCCATTTAGAGATTGGATTTGGGTAAATCTGCCCTCCTTTAAGGTGGAGACAGCCTCTTGGAGGCCCGAGCCTGCAGCCTACCAGCATTCACATTTAGTGAACGTGGCTCCACTTTCCTTCCATACCACCGGGCAGAGGGCCTGAGACGGGGCCTGGGCACTTCGCGTGGACTAAGGCGGGAGAGAGGACGTTTCACCTGTTCCATAGGGGAGTCCCAGAAAGGACACTGAAGAGACCAGACACACATTGTACTTTGCTGTTTGGCTAGGACTCTGCTTGCAGTCTTACCTGTGAAAACCCTTCACCTCGTCTGTAGGCCGCTCTGAGACTGTAGGGGTGTGGGTGTGGCCACCCCTTCTCCCTATTTGAAAAGGAAATCAGGGTTTTGGCATTAGAGACCAGAAGATGGACCTTGTATGTGCCCCTGCTGGCTTCACTTGAGTCCAAATAACTCTCTCAAGTGATGGCCAGTGGGCAAGATGCATTTCCTTTGGAATATTTCTGGCAAACTGTAGATTTCCTGGATGCATTCTGCACATGAGCCACCTCTTCTTGGTAAACTGTGCTGCTATAAGAATGTTAGGAATTGTCTTTATTGGTTCTCCATATGTGCTCTAGCCACTGCATTTCCAAGGTGGAGGGATAGAGCGGGCTTACAAGGGAGGTGGTGATGAACTTGGAGTCTCTCCTGGTTTGTGGTGGCTCAGTGTGCAGTCCAGTCCGTGGAGAGAGCTTGCATGTCCTGTCTCTATCCAGCGGTGAGTGCTCTCTCATTTCTTCCCAGGTTGGCTGGCTCCTCTGGCTGATGGCATGTTGAGATTCAAGGGCCGGTGGCAGCGAGGGCTTCTGATCCAGAGGGGACCGCTCTAAAGGCCAGGCCACCAGTACCATGGGCCAGTGTGTCACCAAGTGCAAGAATCCCTCCTCAACCCTGGGCAGCAAGAATGGAGACCGTGACCCCAGCAGCAAGTCACACAACAGGCGAGGTGCAGGCCACCGCGAGGAACAGCCGCCGGCCTGTGGCAAGCCAGGTGGGGATATCCTCGTCAATGGGACCAAGAAGGCAGAGGCTGCCACGGAAGCCTGCCAGCTGCCCACGTCCTCGGGAGATGCTGGGAGGGAGCCCAAGTCCAGTGCCGAGGAGTCTTCCTTGCAGAGGTTGGAGGAACTGTTCAGGCGCTACAAGGATGAGCGGGAGGATGCAATTTTGGAGGAAGGCATGGAGCGCTTTTGCAATGACCTCTGTGTTGACCCCACGGAATTTCGAGTGCTGCTCTTGGCTTGGAAGTTCCAGGCTGCTACCATGTGCAAATTCACCAGGTTAGTCACCAGTACTTTCCCAGGTGAGCAGAGGAGGGAGCGCACCTGGGGCAGTGGTCCGTTAGGGTAGAACTGGGTTGGCTTCATAGAGTTTGGGTCTTTCTCTGTCAAATTTCTCTAAAGCTGTTCAGCCTCTGAATAACTGGGCGCCGACCCTCCTTGACCAAAGTTAAACAGGGCATAATCCATGCTGAGCCCTGTTGCCACATCGAGGCCCAGCCTCACTGCTGCTGCAGACCCTTCGCTCCCTCTTGTCATCCACTCCCTTCCTCCCTCTCTACTGCTGTGCGCCTGGTGTGCCAGGCACTGGGAGGGCCCCTGGGATGTGCCTGTCACTGCATGAGGCAAGTTGCCCCTCCTCGCCCTCCACACAGTGCCTAGCTGGCCCGGGATCAAGCAGTAGTTGGCATCTCATAGTCGTACATCTCCATGGAGGGTGTTTGGGGGGAGGGCATGGCAGGATTACCCCAAGGTGTGGTTTGCAAAGTGCTGGGGGTGAATAAGAATTTACTTTGAGAACTCCTCATGTAACTTCTAGCCCTGGGGTAGGGTAGATTACCCAGCAGACCTCAGAGGCCTTTTCTCTTTAGTGGATGCAGCAGTCTCTGAGTTGGTGATCAGTGTGGGCCATATTGTGAGCTAAAAGTGTTATACAGATGTTTAGAATACATACACAATTTTTGTTTCTTAAGAGAAAATTTTGATCACTGGTGGGAGTTACCCAGGTTCATCCAGAATCTTTGGTCCCTTGGCAGTTACCAAGAAACAGCCCTCAGAGAACAGGAGAGCAGGAAGGGCCCCTCTGGGAGGAGAGTGCAGCACAGTCACTGTTGCAGAATGGGGAGCAGGGCCTGGAGCTGACGCTTGGCTTTGGGAAGGTGAACAGATGAGCGGATAGGCAGGCACTGTTAGAAGCGGTTGACATATTAACTTGTCCTCACCCACACCCTGAAGAGTGACGTGTAGTCTCAGCACTTCCCAGGTGGAGGAGTCGGCATTCCCACCCAGCCACCCAGCTGCATGGTGCTAATCTCCACGCTGTTGAGATTCTCGTTGACAGTGATTAATTGTGCCCCTACTTCCTGTTGCAGGAAGGAGTTTTTTGATGGCTGCAAAGCAATAAGTGCAGACAGCATTGACGGGATCTGTGCACGGTTCCCCAGCCTCTTGACAGAAGCCAAGCAAGAGGACAAATTCAAGGATCTGTACCGGTTTACATTTCAGTTTGGCCTGGACTCTGAAGAAGGGCAGCGGTCACTGCATCGGGAAATAGCCATTGCCCTGTGGAAGCTAGTCTTTACCCAGAACAACCCGCCAGTGTTGGACCAGTGGCTACACTTCCTAACAGAGAACCCCTCGGGGGTCAAGGGCATCTCCCGGGACACTTGGAATATGTTCCTTAACTTCACTCAGGTGATTGGCCCCGACCTCAGCAACTACAGCGAAGATGAAGCCTGGCCGAGCCTCTTTGATACCTTTGTGGAGTGGGAGATGGAGCGGAGGAAGAGGGAAGGGGCCGGGGGTGGTGTGCGCAGCTCAGGGCCCTTGGGCTTGTGTCCCCAGGAGCAGACTTAGTGCTCTGTCCCAGGGCTGCGCTGCCCTGGAGCCAGCCGAGGAATGGACCTTTCTGGAAATTACCGAAGATCCGGATATTTTCTACTTTACACCTTTCTCTGCCTTGTATCTGAAAGGGCTCTAAAATGCTGTATCATGTTTTAGGCACTTTCTTCACTTTTTGGTTATTTTGGTTATTTCCTTTTTGGGGGGATCCCCCAAAATATTTGAACCTGGCTACATGTTATGTATCTTTTTTATAAGCCTTCAGATAGAATAAGCCTGCCATTTCTTGCACAAATAGATTGTTTGTGGGGGAGGGCGCCAAGAGGGGGGCTGGCGGTCAGCAGAGCTACCATTAGACACCAGTGCCAGATCTGCTGTGCATACTGTCTCAGGGCAGGTCTGTACTGTGTGTGGTGCTGTTTACATGGTTGAATTTCGGTTGTGATAATTTTTAAAGATTTACACGGAGTTGACTAGCAGTGTTAACTGTTAACCATGTTGCATTAATTCCCTGTGAGTTAAAGCCCTTGGAGAGCCAGGGCCAGCCAAATGTGTCCTCTGGTGACAACCCCGTCCAGCTAATGTATCTGAACCCTCTCTCCCGCACTTCTTGCTCATTCCTTCTTTGACGCATTGCATTTCCTGTCGAGTGTACCACCAGCACGTGGCCCCTGCCAGTCGAGTGAGCGGTGTTCTAGAGCAGCCAGCACCCGAGCATCGAGAGCAGAGAAAGCAGCGCTACCTCAGTTTGGCTGGAAGCAGTCTTTGATAGGTGTTTTTCTTTTATGAATTTTCTGTATTTTCATGTTGTAAGTGGAGATACTTTTTTTTTTTTTTTTTTTTTTTTTTTTTTTTTTGGGGCCAAATTTTTTT